CAAAATCAATTATCGGAATACAGGTAAATATAAATATATATTAAAGTAGAATAAACATTTTTACAATTTTAAACGACTTTCACCATTCCTTTCAGTGTTACCTGTGCCCGAACAAATACAGTTTTGATGAAGAGACATATGAAGGAGGCGAATTCGAACTAATTGCCAAGGACGACGGTGTCAGGTATGCTCATGGGTAAGTGTTTCAAATTTCGGGAGGGTAAAAAAAAATTGTTGTTATTGGATAATTCACGTTTATATTCTCTGAGAGTTATTATTATTATTTTTTTTTTAATGGTTTCTTTCACAATCGTTAGTCTTTGCGCAATGTTTGTGCCAGAGACGGAGATCGCTAGCTCGGATGGATCGGATAATGATTGTAAAATTATCGAGAAAGAGCCGATACCTAAGTTCAGGTTTGAGACGGTGAGTTTTTATTGTTCAGATGTTGTATTTGCATTGACATGTTGGTACGCAAGAAAAAAAAAAGAAAGAAGGAAAATCCATGTGACATGATGACTGATGCATAATGAATCATCGTAGGAATGTCAAATTTGTCACACCAAGCTAGGCGCATGCGTAAAATGCCAGGAGGAAGGTTGTACAAAGGTATGCTATGTTTCCCTTATTAGCCATTTCTTCAGAATCACCAAGGTTATTGATTGATTGATCATTTCTAATTATTAGTACTTTCACGTTTCTTGCGGGGATCTCCATGGTAATCAATTAAAAGGGATCGATATTGCAGGTAAAATATATTATGTGATCCATTGTAAAATCCATGAAAAGGTAAATGCCTCATTTCTCGAATGATGCCCCGAAAAGGGATAAATCAAATTAATTCGCGATGGTTTCGGGAAATCTCTCATCTTTGCTGTTGACTCAATTTTTAGGATCACTCATCCTTAATGAAAAAATTGGAAATGGAAAATGAGGCGAATGATAATAATAATAATAATAATGGAGATTCGATGGATTTCATCTATTGAACTGTGCACTGCGACTAGTAATAGAACGCATTTCTGTACACATGTAGATATTGTTTTACAGCATGAGAAGAAAAGTTATGCATAAAATTCACCACACCATCACCTAGAGAAATTAGCAAAAAAGCAGACCGCATTTAGAAAAATCGGTCACCACATGCCTTTTCTTTATGTATACATATATATAATTTTTTCCTCATTTTTTAATTCTTGTTTCATATATTTTTTTTTTCTTTTCTTTTTTTTACTTTTTTTTTTTTTTTTTAAAAAAAAAAAAAGAGAAATTATTCGTGTTCCTAGTATCGATGTCGAAAAGGATATTTGTATTTCATTTCATATTATTTATTGTGGTTTATTTATTCCTGTTTCTGTTTTCAACCCAAGGATTTGACGAGTTACGAAATTTCCGAACTTTGAAAAAGAAAAAAGAACGACAATAAAGGTGACGGTATTCGAATAGTTTTATTACGATTTTATTCGTTTGCAACAGACAAGGCGAATAGAAGAAGACTGTTTTCGTCGTTTAATCCAAGTAACGACTTTTGATTGGTTTGGTGAGGTGGATAGGATTTTCGATGCGTCCGCGTTACTCATGCAGCACTTGAAATGAACGAACGCATATTAGGTTTAGATCATGGTGTTTTTTTAAATGCAGTAATACGCTATTGGTGTTAAGCGATTCTGCGCAGATGATGATGAAAATAAAAATGATTTTTTCGTAAAATCGATCTTTTTTTTTTTTTTGACCGATGTAAATTCATGTGACTGCAATTCTCGGAGGAGAGTCGAGCACTAATTCTCGGACCAATGAATGCATATGATTAAAGTTTTTTTTAATTTCGATTTACATTGAATAATAATTTTTTTTAAAAAAAAAAAAAGAAAAGAAACCTAGACACATTCTTGTATCTTGTTAGTTAATACATTATTAATCCCTCCAGCTAATAATAACACTATGTAATGTATGTGATGCTTGTATTTGATGATCTATTGCCGTATGCCCACCGAAACTTCACTTTCCTTCTTCCAAATCCTTTCTCACGTGACCCGCTCCTTGTTCTGGTTGTCTATTGTCACCACCATAGAGTGTTCCATCGTCTTTATCCTCAAGTTCATCGGGATTTGTTAGCTCGACGTTTGTTAATTCTTCACCACTTCTTACTTCACTCATCCTTTTACTATTTCGGCTATTCCTCTTACCACCCGATCTCCTCAGGAAGCCACCCCCTGAAGGACTTTCCGGTGCTATCGATTCGTCCTTATTATACAAGGAGGATGGAGGTATCTGTAAGGGGTGAAGTCCGCCAAAGTTGTTATCAGGCGAATCGTCCGTCGGCGCATATTGAGGTTCCTTTCGGTTACGGATGCGGTATACTGCATGGTACAGACGGCCAATGATGTTGATGACGAGAGTGAGGCATGAGGTGATCAGTAATAGCAATGGAATTATGTCGTATGTTACAATTAACCTGTAATAAATGATCTATGTGATGGGATGAGTGAAGGAAGGTGTCGATTGTAATAAATGTTAACGTTGATGATTAGCGTTTTTTCCTTTTTAGGGAAGCCACCTACCTGAATAACAACTAGTGGAATGTTTTTAATAAAAATGTTGGCACACGCTCCCCAAAATATCTTACTAATCGCATCAGGAGAGAACGGAGCTTTAAAGATGGAGAGCCCGGCCAGATTTGAATGCAAAACCATCAAGGCCTCAATATCGGCTGCCGCGATGACAGTGAAGATGGAAGCAACTTTTCCATTTGTGTAGAACCAATCGTAGAATTCTTTAGTAAGGTTTTCTTTGCTGATGATGTAGAAGGCTAGAGCGGTGTTCACACATAATGGAATAATTAGGAAGAGAATACTGAAGATCAAAAGAAAAAGTACATTATGAGTTAATTCCCATTGAAATTGTTTGTTTAAGGCTAATTTTCATGAGATGGAAAAAAAAAAAAAACCTTGGTAGGAACAGCTGCTTTATGTCTTTGGCGTTGTTAGCAATAAAGAGAACCTCGAGAATGAAATTAAAGAGAATCAGACCAAGTTGAAGAACCGCAAGGTTATGTCCCTGTCATGTGTGTGGTTTAAAATTTTCAATCCGATTAGTCGATCGCAGAAGAAAAATTTTCACAAATGTGGCTTAAGACATACATCACGATGTCTTCTCTGAGCGATTAGAAAGATTATGATGAATACGGTGACAGCCAGGAACACGCCGATTAATTTGAATCTATATCTTTCCCATAGATCAGCTGCCAAAGAAAGAAAAGATATCAATTAATCAATCAGACACTCAGATTAATAAATTCACCAGGCACAAAATACTTACGTGACGCAACAAAACCATAATTCTCGTCTAGACCGCTTGTCGCACTACCGGTGGAAATGCTAGTGATATACTTGTTCTTAATCATAGTGTTTAAATCATCCTTCACCTTTGGAACCCCTTCTTCATCAGAATCTTTAGGTAAAGCTATATCGATAGAAATCATTATTTGCTCAGAAGGGGTGCCGCTGTTGACGACCTGGTACTTATTATCGGAACTCAAACGAGCGAGTCGGACCGGCACCATTTCCGAAATCTCCTTCAACAAAGTGGAAAAGAAATCATTCCGTTGAGCACTCGAAAACCTTTGAAATCTTTGGGAGGCTTCCGGATTAAGGCGAAGTATACCAGTGACAGAGGCTATAAAATTGGAAGCGAAGATTGATAAGCAAATGTATTATCATCAGTCAATTGATAGATGAGCATAACATGATGTACGAATATGTACCAGAACGTGCGGGCTCCGGAGGAGTGCCTGAATAATTTATAAATTCAAAAGTTATTTCAGCAAATGGAAGTATATGCGGATGAACGAGGTATTGAAATTCGAGATTAGATCAGCATCATCACCTGCCGTGAGCCACCAAACACGACTATCGATCCCCAATAGAGGTTCCCGATAATTTCTGCTCTTTACAAAATTATTATCTATCTGCACGAAATATTGTGCTTTGGGCTGATTAAATGTACTACTAATCAAATCCACAGTGATACTACGCGTATCATTGCCTAGATGACATTTTGCATCTCGCGCTGAAATCATCTGCCGAAGAATGACACTGGAGGAGTTGATATTTTGGTAGATTGTTATGTTACCATCTGACAAATCAACGGGGTCGTAAAAAGTGATAGTAATATTGGCGGCTGTCGGTTGGATGACAGCGCTAATGGCTGGAACGGTGGTGTCGACCATGAGATTACCGTAACCGTGATCTGAAGGAAAAAAGGATAGACATTGTCAAACAGAAGAATTTGGAATCGATAATATAACATCATAAACAATACCTAAATCTCCATCGACCTTGGGCATTTGATCGGTGAGCAAGGTCCAAGACGTTGGATCCTCTTGTAGAGCGATCACCAAGGTGTTATTTTTCTTGATGATAGTCGTTAGACCAAAGAGATTTGGAGTTATTGGTTGTTGCAGGTCAAGTGAAATCTGTGTGTCGTTTATGCCATAGGCAGAGAAGTTTATCAGTGTATCTGAGTTGTTGTTTGTGAAGGTATCTTTTAATAAATAACCGCCAAAGGGCATCGGTAATACGTCCATTACAGTATTGTTCAAACTAATATCCTGGTTTCGAGTTGAGGTGGTTGACACAACCGATCCTGATGATAAAAAGTTGATTTTTAAAAGATATCCGGTAGTTCTGTTCTGAGCCGTGGTAAACGTGACAACCGTGCACACATGACCAACACCGACAAACGCTAGGTCACATTTCATGGATTGAGTTATGAGATTGGAGACGGTCGTTTCAAAGAGAGTACGCTGAGTGCCGGTGGTATTTTGACCATATGACAAGAAGATGGCGTACACTCCGGTAAATGATTTGAACGGGTTGGTGTTGTTTGTAGTGGTAGGTAACGAGTTGATGTACGCAATGGCATAACCCCCATCAACGGTGGCGAATGTGCTAAGAACTAAATTAGCGTAATTTTGTATATTTATATAGTCTTGCGATAAGATTGATAAATTCCCAGAATCATCCCTGTATTTAATTAAGGTTGACAATAATTAATCATCAAGGTTATCTTAAGATAATCATATGACAAAGGAAAAAAAAAAGGAAAGCTAATTACACCAAAATTTGCTGCCAGAGAGCAGAGCTTCCATTTACAGCGGTTAATCTGAAAAAACCCAACTTCCTGTTCACGTTCAAAGTAAGCGATAAATTTATCTCCCACTGACCACGTGAGTTTATGTAAGATTTGCCATAACGTAATCGACTAGGAATTGTTCATAAATATGGATACGGTCATTATCACAAAGAAAAAGAAATCAGTCGACGATGTTCAAGTGTAAATTATTACCCATGAATATTACCCGACCAATCCACAACCATCCCCCAATCTTCGTAAGTTTTAATGTCCGAGGGATCAGTCATATTTACGTAATTAACCAGGATAAATCGATCTCGCAAGGACCATATGGATATAGGATTTTGGGTTCCAATCGCACCACTAAAGAGACGAAAATTCACGGGATCCAAATTTGCATATGAATTATTGATGTTAACTTCAGTGACGGTTCCATCTGGATTTATAAGCCTAAAAGCTAGAACAGGATCTAGGTAAATGGCAGTAGCAGTGGAATTGAGGGTATTGCTCCTCCGTGCCATACGGACAAGAATTGTTCCATCATCGTAGGTTTGAAGATCTGTTATACGAGGTGTTTGGTCGTTGTCGGTTGTTTTTTCTATGTAGGTAAAGTTCTGTGGTGCTGATTCCGCGAACAAGAAAAGGGATGTCAAGACTAAACATGATATAATAAAATCCAAGGAATAATGTAATCTCATGGCAAAAAATTTGATCACTGACAAAAAAAAATAAAAAATAAAAAAAAAAAAAATAATAATTTACGTCAGTATGTGAAAAGAATGCTTACTATTTAACATTATGCATGATGCCAAATATGTCTAGGACGTTCAAGGAATGAAACGCCAGGGTGTAATACTGTAAGATAAGTATTAAGAATATTTTTAGAATATAGTACCAGATTGTTACGTGATACTAAAAAAAAAAGGAAGAATTCCGATCCATTGATTCTCACCAACGTTTCCAAAAACGGTGAGCCGTTTAGTTTCAAAGTCGAAGTTATGTACACGACCATACGTGCATGCCTCTTTCCGTTTCATTGAGGAAGGAGACCATTGGTTCCGCTAAATGACCATTAAGACACATGAATATCAAAAAAAAAGAAAAAACATTCACATACGCAAACGATCAGAAGACAGATCGATATCAACTAATGCATTAAGGACAAAAGGGCGTAAAATCATAAATTCGGCAAATTATAATTTTAGATATATTTGATATTTAAGCCCAGAAATGAATATTATCACTTGTATCACACCGTCTCCAAAAAAAGATCAGGCTAAGATTACACGACACATGCATACATACAACATACTTACATACTTACATTGCTAACCGGTTGATGCCTGATTTTAAACATTCCATTGTTTTTGTGTTTACATTTAAATCGTGCTCAAAGCAAGAGGTGTCAAGTTCATTTTGAGTTTTATTACTAATAATAGAATCCCTGGAACCTTTAGCTTTTTATTTTGTGTGTATGTGTGTGTGAATTTTGTGTACAAGATAAATAAGATTACGTATTGTTTTTTTTTATATGAGTCGGATACTTGATCAAACGAGAACCGAAATTTTTTCTCGATGCACGTGCGCGCAAGAGTTGACGAAAATTCCGTTAACGTTTTTCCTGCAGAATAATATAATAACAATAAATGGTTGAATTTTGTGCTAACTATATTTTAAGAAAAACAAACATAATATTATCATAGAAAACGCATATGCGCATATTTTGAAAGACGAAGAAAAAGGAAATTTATCATTTCGGTAATTTCGATTTATTATTATTATTATTATTATTATTATTATTATTATTATTATTATTATTATTATTTTGGGATTCGCAACGATCTTTAAATTCAGGATCGTTGGAAGTGCTGCACATCGTAAACAAAAAAAAAAATCAAAGAATACTCGTAATTAACATGATCGTGATAATGACAATTCTCATTTATCAATTACCCTTGTATTCTTTAAGAATAGGACATATTAACATGGGCATTTTTTATACCACATCCCGTAGATGGATTTAAAAATAGAAACGAATAAAGAAAGACAATAAATTATGTCCCTTTGTTCGTTGTCTCGTTCGTTCTTTATTTTCTTTAAATAAATATTTATATTTTTATGAACAAATAATCTTTCACGTTAAATTATAATATACTGTATATAATTATAATATGTATCTAACGAATCATTAATATTTGATTATGGAAATTTTTAATTTAAAAATATATATATATATAGAGGTGTGTATATATGCATGCAATATAATTTTCACTTTATGTCAAATATTTGATGTTACTTCGTTGCAATGAACGCATGATTATAGAAAAAAAATTGTTTTTTTTTTCTTTTAAAGCCTCCAAACGAGACATTCAAACTTGTAATCTTTGAATTTTATGATAATGATACCGATGGGGAAGGGGGGGCTATCGCCATTCTCGACTAGTCCTCAAAATCAATCTCCACTCCGCAAACATCAAGATTGAGGCGTCTTAATGTCTGATCGAAATCTCGTTATATGTTATACATATTCATACACTGTAGCAGGCTAAATGGAGAGTTTGTCGCAAACTTTGACCAGATTTTTCTGGAATTTCCGGAATTCCCGGCGATCATCGATTGCGTTATACGAAAATCAAGTTAGTTCAACCGAAACTAGTTTGGGTTATAAAACGTGACCTCTCGATATCACGTGATTTTAAATTTTTAGCTTTGTAATCAGAATCACTCTGCTGAGATAAGAGCGTGAAACTTGACATCAAAGTTAAAGGGGATAGGTTAATTGTTTTATTGTGTTCTGTTTTTTACTAAAGAACAATAAAATTCACTAACCTTATTAATCCTTTAATATATTTGTTTAAAAAGTCGGCGTAAAAATATACTTGACTTGCGGAAAACGACGAATGGTAATTATTCATCTCTCAATTGTCAATATCTTAAGACAATTATCAGTTTTTTTTTTAAAAAAAAAAATATTTGAACGATCAATAATGTAGGATTGCAGGTATATAAGGAGGTTCTTTCTTTTCCTTTATATAAAAAAAAAAAAAAAAGGGTGATTCAATGAACAAAAGTAATATTGAATTCAGTGAAGGATCTTCGCGAAAGGTGAAGAAAAGTCAACCTTGTCATCCAGTTTGGCAATATCTCTCGTGGAATGCAGACAAGACCTTCATCTTCTGCAACCTGTGTCTGCAGCGATACAGTTCCAAGACGAGAGTCAGCACACTTAAGGGACATTTTGTGACAAATCATCGAGAAACGTGGGAAGGAATTAGGCAACAAACCATGCTCCCGATTAATTCACTCGAATGTGATAAGATGGATGCAGAGAAAGCTGCAAAATTAGATTATTTTCTTCTTCGATGGATAGTGTGTGATCAACAACCATTTTCAATTGTTGAAGAAAAAGAATTTTACGACTTAATTTCAACATTAAATTCCCAATATAAGTTGTTAAGTCATCAAATGGTTTCTGTGAAAATACAAGAAATGTATGAGAAGCAACGCAAAGTTCTTAAGGCATACCTCAGTAATCTTGACAGTAAAGTGGCTATTACTACAGATATCTGGAATATATACACGGATGACAGTAAAGTAGCTTTTTCTACAGATATCTGGACTACATACACGTACATGTCTGTGATGCTCCACTGGATCGATTGCGAATGGAAAATGAATCATATTCTTATTGACTTGATACCGTTTTTGGGGGATATCGAATTGGTGGATACGATTTATACTACGATTAATGAATTTAATCTTGGTGAAAAGATCATATCGATTACCACTGATGACACCCCTAACATGGATGTATTTGAACAAGAGCTCACAAAGATGCTATATAATAATCACGACAACACATTATTTCGTCATATCAGATGTCCAACACATACCTTAAACCTGATGGCCAAAAATGGTCTTGCAGAAGCTGAAAGAATAGTCACAAAAGTTCGAGAATTCGCCATCACCATACATTCATCTCAAACTATATTCGAGAAGTTGAAGAATGTTTTCGAAATGAAAGGGGTCGATTTTTCGATACCTGAGATTGACGTTCAAACCCATTGGAATTCGACCTACCTGATGTTAGAAAGTTTACAAACGATCCGTGAGATAACGGATATTCTAGTCACTTCTGATCCATCGTTAAAAGAACTGTATCTAAACGAAGAGGATTGGAACGAGCTTGATGTAAGTATTTTGATGATATTTGATGGTTAATTATTTATTAGAAAAACGTAAAATAAAAATCCTAATATTTGTTATTTCTATTTCTTGAAAGATGCTTGTCTCATTACTTAGCCCGATTCATCATGCAATCAATTTTCTTTCTACCGCAAGTTACCCTACGTTTGGAGATCTCCACATGGTATTCCTTGTTATCATAAATGTGCTACACGAGGCTTTACACGAGGAACATGATACTTTGCGAAAAAGAGTTGCCGATAAGATGAACGAAAAATTAAGTAAATATTGGAATGGATTGAAATCAACTTTTCGTGAGGCCGTGATTCTTGATCCAAATAGTAAACTGTCATCATTTAATCCGGATACGGATAAGCGTGATGCACAAGATATAGTTTATGAAACATTTAAGATGAATTATGCGACCAAGAGTAATGAACCATCCCCTGGATCAGAGTCTCTGCGTGCCTTCTTTCGTAATCAGCTTAAAAGAAAGCATGGAATGTTTATGGAAAACAACGATACTCTTGAGGAATATCTTTGTTTACCTGTTGAAGATGTGGATGTTCTTTCGTACTGGAAAATCAAGTCCGCGGATTCTCGGTGGGCTCCTGTTGCCTGTATGGCACGTGATTACCTTGCAGCTCAGGCAATAAGTGTGCCAAGCGACCGGATATTCTGTACCACAAAATTCTCAATCAATACAATGAAGGATTGTTTATATTTAGAGAATGCTCGTGCCGCTCTCTGCCTCAAGACTTGGATTGAGATGGGGTGTGTAGAGGAAGAATATTTGTATGAAAAGGATAATGAACAACGAAAACACCATCGTTCATAAATAGTGATTTTAGTTACATGAATAAATATTCGTAAATTGGAATAAGAGACTCTTTTTATAGCATTACCGAGAATTTTTTTCGACGTATTAATTAATAATTTCGAGTGTGCGATGTCCATGTAATGAGCTAAGTACACTCACAATAAATGGCAAGGTAATATCGAAGGCGCTCACAATAAATGGCAAGGTAATATTGAAGGCGCAATTAAAGCCAAATCTCACTATATAATCGAAAGACGAATATCGAAAAAATAAAGAATTCCTACTGCCGTCTGGGCCGAATAACTAATTAGCTGTTTCCGAGCTTCGCAAAGAACAACAAACAATTGTTGCCAAAGCTTTATACACTCGCGTAATAGGCCCGCGCAAGTGCAGATACGGTCAGTGTAGGAATAATCCCCCGACAAATAGTCTGGATTAAACCACCAACGAGAAAAAAAAAAGTAGCTTTCTATTATAAAATTTGCGAATGTACCTTATGCTGATGCTTATGCACTTATACAGCTTTGATTTATATGTTCGTTTCTCTTGAACAACCCTCGGATTTAAAGTAATAGTAAATTTAATGACAAGACAATGCATTGTCCATCAAGAATATCTACTTACATCTACACTACAAGCTCCTCAGACAAGTTATGTGATCAATTTAAGACAAAGCTTCTTTCTTAAAATGTTAATATCAGTCGAAAGAAATATGATCCTGAATTTTGTAATGTCTTTTATAGATTTTATATCAAAAAATATAGTCAATGGTAAAATCAAGGTGTTAAGGAACTTCATAAGAGAACCCAAGTAAGAACGATCTTTGCACAACATGACCAACAGAATGTTATGATTAATACGCATGTGATAGAAATTTTTTCTATGATAGATAAAAATGGGACATGAGTAAAGTTTAGTTTGTAATCGGTTAGGTGACGGGAGTCATTATAATCCTGGTTTTTCGAGCATATGATTGTTCGTTCAACTTACTACAATACTGGTATGGTGTCGACGGTTTCGATTTGACAGGTTCAGATGCTTGACAACTTTCTCTCTGTTGACTGCTTTCTAGAGACCCTTATTAGTATATGCATATGTTCATACGATGTATAGACGTAACAAATACCTTGCGTCACTTTTTAGCTTACATAATACACGACTACGTAACGCGATGCCGTGTACGCGTTATCTTGCTGATCAATTCGTGCAACACTTAAATATTTTTAATTTTCGTGATAGCATGAATCCACAAAGATGCTTAGAGGTCTTTGCAAAAGTTTAAAATGAAATTTTTATTTACTGTAACTATGAGAGCGCGCTAATCGATACGCGAAAATTGGTTTTATATCATTACTTATTCGACTGATCTCAAGACTACTGATATCAATGTGATGGAACCGAAACATTTGAGAAAGAAGCTCTATCTTAAATTAAGCACATAACTTATAAGCACTAGTCTTCATAAAGTTTATAATATAATGCTACTTTTTTTTCTCGATCGTTTAATTCAGATTATTCGTTGGGGAATTATTCGTACACTGACCACATGCATTTGCGCGGGCCTATTATACGGGTGTAGAAAGCCTTTGCAATGATTGTTTGAGACGGCTAATTAGTTGTTTGGCCTAAATGGCAGTATCCGGGATGTCTTTCACCAACTACTGTTGAATCTCATTAAAAACAAATTCCTTATTTTTCGATATTCGCCTTTCTCTTATTTCATAAGATTTAGCTTTATTATTATCTCATCATTTATTTGTGAATGTACGTAGTTCATGTAATGAACTAATCGTTTTCATACAACGAAAATTAAAGGTATACAGTATGTAAATACGCGATATTTTTACTCGAAATTACGTCGAAAAAGTTCTCGGTAATGCTATAAAAGACGCACCTATTCTAATTTACGGATATCGATATTTTATAATAAGAATTAAGTCTTGTTTGTCCAAGGATTTATCAAATATACCCTAGGCAACGTAAAAGAAAATCAAACTTAATTAATACTAATTTAAGGATATTCGTTGTACTCTGTGTTATTAGTAACAATACTGTATAAGGAATGCGACAACCGGGTTACGATTATCAGCATGGAAAATGGAAAATGGAAAATGGCGTGCGGTATAATGTTCAATGTGTTTCTGTGTTCGCATTTTGCTGTCAAACCAAATAGAATATAAATAAATATAACGAATTTTGGTTTTTCAAAAATGGTTAAATGAAATCTGATCGAGATTGTCGTACGCTGTAACGGTATATTATCGTTCCATAGTAGTACAAGTCTCGTTTTCTATAAATATTCTCCGGCATTATTATTTTCACAGGGCTTGGAATACACTGTTGCCAGATTGAGAGCATTATACGCATTAACATATGCTCATTTTAAAGAGCAGTGATTTTTTTCCCAAAATAAATGTCATGGGGGTGTTCGTGTGACTATATTACAGAACGTCATGTGAAAAATTTGCCAAAAGTTACATACATTGTTTCAATATAATTTTTTAAAATGTTAAGTAAAGCATTTTTCATGATCTTTATTAAAGAAATAATTTAATATTGTATTATATGTTTGATATTGAAATATAGAGATATATTAAATACATGTTAATTTATCATTATAAATAAAAATATTTTTAATAAAAAACATTAAAACAAGAAAAAAAATATAACTACGTATTTATTTTGGAGAGTTAGTACCTCTTTAATATTTATTTTGTCTTAAAAGAATATAAACAAAATTTTTTTATAATATTATATTATAATGGTAAAAGAATTATTTATTTTTGAAGTATTATTTTTATTTTTTATTAATTAAGTTTTATTTAATTTAATTGTTGTTTAAGAGATATTAAAAAAAAATTCTTTATTGATTATATTCTGTTTCTTGAGATTTAAATAATATATTGACATTAATATATCAATATATATATTTGAAGATTTATAAATTTTTTACATTAATTTGATATTTTAAAAAAAATGTAAAAAATTATAAAGTTTTATAAATAAAATTTAAAAATTTAATCTATTTTATTAATTAAAAAAAAATTATAAACTTAACAAAATAATTATAAATAATAGTATTATCAAGAAATAATAAATTACTAATAAATTATTTTTTATTAATTGAATTAATAAGATATAACTTTATTAAAAGAATTAAATTTTTTGATATTTGGTTATTTTTTTTTTTATAATATTTGATTAATTTCTTATTTTTTATTATGTAATTTAGAATTTTTTTGAATATTCAAAATTGATACAAAACATTTATTTCAATATATAGATTTTTTAAATCTTTTTAATTAACAAAATTCTGGTTAATATTTAATTTCAAAATTGTTTAATTATAAAATTTCTAGTTAATATATTTGTTTTCTTAACAATATTAATTATATTTTAATATATTTTAGTAAAGTATAATTAATAATAATTTAAATTTTTTATTTTTTCAAATTTAAATAGTATTTTATAATAAATAAAATTCTTATATGATAGTTAAATAAAAACAAACCAACAATAAAAAATTTTTAAATAAATTTTTTATTATAATTAACAAGATTCCAAAATAGTTAAAGTTTTAATATGTTTTTTAATATTAATTATTTCTTAATAATATTTATTTTTTATTAATTTATAAATGTTTTTTTTTTTTTTTTTTAACAGGTCGAAGCACGGAAGGTTGCACGAGGAAAGGCTTCTGGTCTAACTCCGGTATAAGCCCACAAAAACTCTAACCCAAACTGGCGACGGCAGACTCCGTCACACAACACAAAGAGATTAACTCTAAGCATGGTCTATCCCAATCTGGAGCTTGTAGATCTATCCCAATAGTGGTGTTCCACGGAACTTAATCATATGGCCGAAGGGCAA